AGAGTCTAACTGCCATTTTTTTCCAGTAATACTTGGGTGAAACATCCCAAACTTTGAATGGAAATCAAATCATGTGGAAATATGAATTATTTTATTCCTTCAATATAATCTGGATTTACATGCTACCATATTTTACTACTTTATTCATATTGTCTTTTTAAAAGTTAAAAAGAATTTTTTTTATTTAAATCAAAGAGTTGGAGAGATGACTGAGTGTGTAAGAATACTGCTTGCTCCTCCAGGGGTCCTGAGTTCAATTCTCAGCAACCACATGGTAGCTCACAGCCATCTACAGTGGGACCTGATGCCCTCTTCTGGCACAAAGTTGCACATGCAGCTAGATCACTCGGATGGATGGATGGATAGATAGATGGATAGATAGATAGATAGATAGATAGATAGATAGATAGATAGATAGATCTTTTTCAAAAATTCAAATGGAACTAGGATTTTTTTCTTAATCTGAAAACAGTTATGGATCAGAAGTGATAACTTAGTTAAGCATATCAATTTTTTATCCAACTACAGCTTTATGCTACATACCCTAGTTCCTGTGGCTTAGAATATAATAAGATTTTATAAAACTAAGTGTCAATAACGAAATGATTGTGTTTGCTGATACTGATAGTAAACTTACTAAAGAGCCATCCAATAGTCTTAACTAGCACTGTCTTTGTTTTAGTTCTTTGAGAATTGCATAAATGTACTTTGATCATATTCCCCCCCATCCTCCCAAATCGACACATCCTTCCCTATCCACCCAGTTTTCTGTCCTCCTTTCCTTTTAAGTTTAAACACATTAAGCCCAGTTTGTAAAACAGTATTTTCATGAGTCTGTAACTCTAGTGGTGAATGTTGGTTGAGGTTTATAGCATCATTGAATCAGTGTAGAAAAGATGGTTTGTATAACAGGCACTTCTTCTCTTCACCTTGGTTCAGATGAAAAGGTATTAGTGGGGAGATGACTTAGTGGTGATCTGGAACAATGCCTTAAATATAGCTGAGTAGGATGACTCCTAATTGTAATGCCTGCATTCACAATGCTGAGGCAGTAGATTGTAAGTTGAAGGCAGCCTAGGCTACACAGGCTTTCTCAACAAAGAAAAAGAGGAGATAAGAATGAAAAACGAGCCTGCAGCTGTAAGAAGAGCAGCCTCCTGTGTGCCAACATTCACAGTAAACAAATTCTAATTTCAGAATATCAACACATATTGCTAGTATCTGCTTATTACAGGAGTCATTCAAATAAAGAGTGGAGGATTGTGGGAGGATAGGTAGAAAGATGGGCTGCCATGAGAATCAAAGCCACACCCTGGTGATTAAAATTAGAAATAGAGACATGAAACACAAACTTTAGGTGAATGTCCAGTTCGAACTTTCCAACAGAATGAAGTTTCCTCAGGAAGAAGTTGACCTCCCTGGAGTACTGATGGAATACCAGATGTTCATAGTGGAGTGGAAAAAAAGAGTGTGTGCATCATTTGACAAAAGAAGTTGAGGAAAACATTCCTGCCACAGATCCAGAAATATATGTATTTTATTTTCCTTTTCTCCAGGGGAAGAGATTGATACAAACTTCAAAACTATGTGCATCACTTATAAACTTTGAACTAACAGTGTTCTTCTGAGAGAACTATTTGGTCTGCATTGTTAAATGTCAGTCATTAGATAACACTTTAGCAGAGGAACTCAGTCAAGTTGGAACAGCTTTTAAGAAACCAATTACAATGTGAGTTATGAAAGAGAAGTGGAAGAAGCCCAGGGAAAATACTAGAAAATGCAAGTTCTTTCATCCATTGAATTTTTGCAGAGAGTTCTGGCTAACTGGGCTATTCAGACTTAAGACAGCAATAAAAACAGGGCCTTGTTTTAAGGATAAAAGGATTGTTAAAAAGCAGAAGCTGTGATTATTAACATTGCAAAGACTCTTCCTTTTTAATAAGTATTTTCTTCTTGACATTAAAGTGCACGATTCCATAATAGATAGGAATTAAAAGGAAGCATTGAGAACCTTGTAAAATATATTTAAACTGAGATTCCACAGATGAAGTAGCAGTATAGGAGTGCAGGAACAATATAGGAAAAGAAAGTGCTCTTTTCATACTCTGGCATGCTGATTGTTCAAAGGAATTATGAAATAATTTTCTTTCATAATTCAGTTTGAGTAGTTAATTTTGCTGGTTCTGTTTCAAGAAGATATGGAAGATTTGGACGGTTTTTTAAAGATTTTATTTCTGTGTGTGTGTGTGTGTGTGTGTGTGTGTAAGCACCCGTGAAGTACAGTAAAGGGTGATAATCCCATGAATCTGAAGTTAAAGGGGGTTTGTGAGCCACCTGATGTAGGCACAGGAAATTAAATTTACATCCAAACTCTTAACAGCTGGGTCATCTCTCTAGCTTCCTCTGACAGTATCTTGAAGAAATGAAATGTTAAAACTTAAAAAGATGCAGTTAAGCCTCTGTAGTTCTCACATGTAAAGAAAGGAAGGATGAATATTCGAGTCACGAGTTGGGCATGTGAAAAGAGCCTCAAAACTCATGGAGAAACAACTACCAACAGAACTCTAAACAACAGCGGTCCTGTGATGAGCAATGTTACCACCTCTTTTCTCATGAGTGGCACCATTAGCAGAACAAGCAATGAAGACTAGAATCACACCATCACCGACAACAACTACCTGACATTTTCAAAACAGTCCCCCAGCAGCAGCTACAGTATTCACTACTACTCTCCAAAGTAGACTACATTCTGGATGATAAAAATCATTTAAAAATTTAAGATGATTAAAATTGTAAAGATTATCCACAGTGGGGAAATATCCAAATACTTATAGATTAAATATCATACTTGTATACTAACCCATGGTGTCCCAATGAAGCAAGCCAGACACGAAGCTAAAAATACTTAACTATATTAAAGTAAAAAACAGGGTTTATTGAAGTTTGTCTGATCAACAACTTCAATGAAATGTGAAAAATATACCATCTGGATTTCAATTCTAGGAAATTAAAGTATAAACAAACCTTTTTGTAGCAATGCCTCTGTCACATGACTTGCTTATAGTAGGAAAAAAACCTGAAAAAAAACGTAAGGGTGAATAATAGGAGACTATGATAAATATCTGGGTGGTGATGATACTGATGATGGTGATAGAGAAAATAGTCTTACTAACAGTGAAATTAGGAAAAGCATGAGGTTGGTGGAGATGTGCAGTAGAGCCTGCACTCTATTACATATAACATACATATAGCATATGCAATGACTTGAGGAATGAATGGGAAACAAGGATCCATTTATATAAGTGTGTATGCATATACTTTTTATTTTGACTTTTATTTACATTTATGTACAGGATATGTGCTACAAACAAACAAACAAAAAAACTGGTTAAGGTCCAGAAATAGCAGTGAATTCATCAGGTAATCATGTTACAGGAGGCCTTACCGCCTGAAGAACTGTATTTGAGACTTCTCCTCAGACCACCTCATCCACAGCTGTTTGATGTGGAAACTTTGGCAATATCCTTTAATCTTCTCTCCAGACACCAGTTTTTCTATCCAGTCTTTTTTTCCCCTACATGTTTAGGATGATAGTCTGACCTTATAATCATCCTTCCCTTTAAAAATTTTTTGTTATCTTCCAATGATATTTAAGATACTTAATCTTGGACCAGCAAGATGGCTCAATGGGTTGAGGTCTTTGCGTTCAGGCCTAATGATATGAGTTCAATCCCCAGATTCCACCAAGATAGATAGAAGATGAATAGAAGGTAAATGCTTAGGTCTGTGCATGCTCACACCAACAAATCAGTTTAAAATAATACAACTTTCAAATCATACATGTAGCCTCTGCCCACCCCTAGACTTCACTGTAGAGACTCCCCCAATCTCAGAATGCTGCCACCACAAGGTCCTCTTCCTTCACTTCCTGCATCCTCCCTGCTTCTACCCGTGGGTTTTCACCCGCTGTCTTCATTGCTCTATATTTAAATAGTTCCTTGAACATCACCTCCAAGGGGCATCTTCTTTGACCTCAATTCCATTTTCTTCTCTCTGCTATTTACTGTTCCATCATGCTTCTAATTATACCATGTTAATGGATGCCTTTATCCTTTGGAAACCTGAAAGTTTCCTGATCATCTGCCCCAGTGTCTTGTTTGTTCCTGGCTCAGCACATAGTACAATTCTACCCCCAATTGTTGAATAAGTGTGGGTTGGGTGGAGAATAAAGAGCATAGTAAATAATTTGAAAATAATCATAAAATTGCAATTTTATTATTTACTCAAGTATATCAAAGTAACTATTTTTAATCTATTTAAATAATGAGATTATTTAAAGTTGTCATCTAATAGTTAAGGAAGACACATGTATGCAACATATGAAGACAGGGGCCTATTTTGTATATTTTAACTCAAATATTTATTGAATGTGTAATATTATGTTCATATGATCATATGGAGAGCAGTCTGATAAAATTCATGTTAAACATTAAATTGTTTTTATTGAGCCACTATTTCCACCAAAGTGTTTGACATCAGGAGTAGACGTAAATTTGGAAAAGGTTACATATTTAAAGGTATTTCCCTGAGTGGTATTTATGAAAGCAAAACCCTGGACACCATCTAAATGTTAAGGAAAACCCTGGCTGAGTAAAGCCTAGTGTATCCACTGGATAGTATAGGACTACTTAAGTTAAAGATTAAGATAATATAATGACTTCAGAATGTTTACAACTAAACACAAATAACACAGAGTTTTATTTATGTGTGTTCAGGGGAAAAACTGGAAAGAACTGTCATGCTGCATAGCAATGAATGATTTCTTCCTTTTTCATGTATTTGCTTTAGCCCACGTGGTCTGATTTCTGCAATGATTATTATCACTACCTGTGCATATGTCATATGGCTTGTATATTAAGGTCTGGACATTTATGCAACTCTGACTCTCTTTCCACGTATTCTGTGACCCTGGAACTGAAGTGAGGTGCTTTCTTTCTCAGGACGACAAACCTTTTTCTGAAAGTTTCCACACTCGTGACCTAGATCACTCATCCTCTTGGCAGGATGGCAGTTGCCTGCTGTCTGGTCCACGGTTTTCACACTTCAACTGTAAGTAATAGAATCTTTTACCAGTTATCAAATTGGATTTCTTAAAAAGTGTAACTCACGGGGAAATTAAAGTTTAAGGCCAGCACATGATGGTAATATTCATTCTAAAGTTTGAGAAATTTTTCATTATAGATTATAAAAATAATGTCCCCCAAGAGCACATCTGATGGTACCCAACTCTCTGAAGAACATGGAATTCCTTTATAGACCTCAAAATGTTTAAAGAAAACCTAAAGTAAATCATCTAAAGTAAAAATGTCAGTTAAACTAATTCTTGGTTTAAAGATTGTTAACTCTAGATGAACAGAAAAAGGTTATTTTGTAATAAAACAAATAATTGAAACAAGAAGAATTTTGCATTTAACTATTTAGAAATATTTATTTGTTCAAAGAGTAAGACTACGTGCACGCCTACACACTTAATTTCACTGTTTATTGCCTGTGACAACAATAAAATGTCATGGTTCACTAGCCTGGACTCCAGCTACCCTCGTGCATTCCCTCTTCTCCCCTTCTGCAATGGGCCTCTTCATGGGGCTCAGCATTTCTGCATTATACTTGAAGATGGCATCAGTGCTATGGTTTTTAAAGGTGTTTTCTATTTTAAGCTCCCCAAACTCAATACAACATTTTAAAATAAATCTTAGGATAACAAATAAATAGATTCTTATAATATGAGTAACTTTTCACTTACTGATTTTTTTTCTATCTGCTCACCACAGACTGAACTCAGTGAAAATATGAGTGATGCCTGCTTTGTTCATCATTGTTTCCTTAGCTCGCCACATGATACTTGGCACATATTAAAATCCCAATTAATATTCAATTAAATTAGGTAAATGACTATACACGTCCTTTTTTGAAGTCTATTTTATCTGAGCCATCGGGATTCAAATATTATTTAATTTGCATAATAATTTAGTTTTTCAATTTATCATGGGCCTGGAGGGTTATCCATTAAATTTGATAATTCTGTCATTTAAAATAGCTAGCCTGCTATAAAATAATATATCAAAATAAATCTTAAAGAAATAGGTCAAATCCAAAGGTGAGATCTCCCATTTTTGCTTGTTAATATTCATGGCTTTGTTTAATAAATATTTATCAGTTTCTGACAAATGGTTTGGTTTTCATTATATCATGATTATTTTATTTCAAAAGCTAAGCATTTTCTCTTTCCCATCTTAATCATTTTACCAAGTGATTTTGCATCTGTATAAACCTTCTGCTATTCTGATGTTGTGTCCACTCTTCAATATGGATTACATGTCAAGGTGAATATAGCGTCACAATTGGTTTATGTATAGGCCAGAGTTTGTGTCTTTCATATTAAGTAATGTAAAAGTTTCCTCAGGTTAACATGGACCAGAAAGCCACCTCAGAACATTAGAAGTCCCACCTGCTGGTACACTGAGAAGCCTGGAGATAGCAGGACCATGAGTCCAGCATAGTGCCCGGTTTTTTACTGCTACTTGATATTTCTTAGACGGCTCCTAAAAGAAAGTAGTTAGAAGTCATGAGATAGGATATTAAGGCTGTTGGAATTATATTTAATTATTATAATAGGCATCCAAAGAGACTATATTTAGCTTTTGATTATACCATCTTGTAGCCAGCCTTGATCTTTTTTTTTAATTTTTTTATTTTAATTTTAAATAGCTTGTTTTACATGTTTTTTCTAATTAAGATATATTCCTCATAAGCAGACATGTGATCCTATTCAAGTGTAGCAGTTCAAAAGTAAGAAAAGTTATCATCTCAACATAGTCTAAATTAAGAAATACTTGTCACTGCTTACATTATAGGATGTAAAAAATTAATTAAATCCCTCCATTGATTAATGGAGCATTATGTTTTATTCTTTTTATGGACAAGTTTTTGCTTATGATTTCCTGCCTTACTTATCCCCATCTTCTCAATACTTGTCAAAATTTAGTTAACATTGTCTGAACACTTCTGTTTTTATAGCAGAGTAATTACACTTAGAGAAATTATCGTCTAACCTCTCCTTTTACTGAGCCCCCAAAATTCAAAATGCTAAGCCTAGCAAAGTGTAGAGCAGAGCCTGTGTCAAATAGGATGATTAGAGAAGGTGTCCTCAGACGCTGAAGCTAGAGACTACGCAGAGAGGAACCAGGGTAAAAAGGTCTCAGATTATAAACTATTCTTGACATAACGATAGAAGAAACTAGACAAGTGGGAAATAACATCTAGAAAAACACAAAGTACAATGAGTGGAGTCCAGGGAAGAATGGGACACTAGAAAAAAATGAGGGCTTTCAGAAAACCAAGGGCTGGCAAGATGGTTCAAGTGTATGAAGGCACTTGTCACCAATCCTGATGACCTGGGTTCAATCCCTGGAACCCCATGTGGTAAATAAAGGAGAAGACCAACTCCTACAATTTAGCCTCTTACCTCTACATGCATGCTGTAGTACATATGTTGTGTACCCCCCACACACAAATAAATTTAATAACAAAAATTTAATCAACTTAGGAGGGATAGTAAGATGGTTAGACAGGTAAGGACTCTTGCTTCAAGGCTGATAACCCAATTTCAGTCCCTGGGGCCGACATGATGCACAGAAAGAAAAAATGTTCACCACAAATGCAAGCCATGACATGTGTACCTACAAACACATTCTCTCTCTCTCTCTCTCTCTCTCTCTCTCTCTGGCTCTGTCTCTCTCTGTCTGTCTGTCTCTGTCTCTGTCTCTCTCTCACACATACACACACACATTCTCTCTCTGTCTCTTACACACACAGATGTAATTTACAAGTTTAAAATTCGGGGGGGGGGCTGGAGAGACAGCTCAGTGTTTAAGAGTACTGGCTATTCTTCCAGATGACCTGGGTTTCAGTCCCAACACCCATATTGTGGCTCACAACTGTCTGTAACTCCAGTTCCATGGGATCCAATTATCTTGTTTGGGCCTCTGCAGGCACCAGGTATGCATATGCGGCACAGACATATATGCAGGTAAAACACCAATTGACATAAAATAAAATGGTAAAACAAACATTTAAACTCAATTCAAAATAGAGGAGACATGGTTCACAGATTTGGAGCTCAGGGAGAACAAAGAAAGCGCGCAGGCCAGGAGGGAAAGCGCTTATCCAAGATGGCTGTGCGATGCATGCGGCACCCAGACACTTTCTCATGCCCTTGTTTCTTTACCCCTTTCTTCTATGGAAGTGCATTGAGGAGAGGCAATGCCTTTGATCTTTGTATACCTGAAAATGGAATCTTCCATTGACACTTGATCAAGGCTTGGGCCGACTATAAAATTCTATGTTTGGCCAGCTACAGAATTCCAAGTTAAAAATGATTTTCCTTATGAGGTCATTGAAAAAAAATTTCTTCCAATCCAAGACTGCTGTTGAAAATCATAGCTACTTTACTCCTATCTTGTGAAGTTGTCTTCTGTCTTCTCCACACCCTTCCCTTCTGTATCTGGTTTCCCTTTCCACTCCTGGCCTGGGAAGCTTGGAGGAGCTCTACCCTTGAATCCCAGTGAGTGTGTGCTATTCAATCTTCTTTCTTCAGGATTGGTGAACCCTTAAATGGGCACTCACTTTTTTCCTTTTATTGAAAATAATTTTTCTCATGCAGTATATTCCTGATTCCCCTCCCTCTACTCTTCCAAGCTCCTTCCTACCTCCCCTCTCTTTGGATCTACACCATTTCTTTCTCTCATTAGAAACAAAAAAACAGTTTTCTTTAGAATAGTAATAAAATAAAATTAATATACTACAATAAAACAAAAACTAGCACTTCGGAATTGGACAAAACAAACCAACAGAAGGAAAAGAGCCCAAAAGAAGGCACAAGAAGCTCGGCAATCCTAGGAAAACACCAAACTAGACACTGTAATGTTAGTGTTTCTGTGAGCTCATGTGGCCTTTGACCCTTTTGATGCAGAAGGCTTTCTTTTCTTGATGTCCTCCATCCCTCTAACTCTGAGGCTCTTCCTGCCTCTTATGCAGGATGCCCTGAGGGGAGGGATTTGATGAAGACATCCCACTTAAGACTGAATGTACAAAGGTCTCTAACTCTCTGCATTATGTCCAGCTCTGGATCTCTGTGTTTATTCCCATCTGCTTCTTGGTCTGAGTCAGCACTCACACTTCTTTTTAAACATATTTTTTGTATTGATTCTTTAGGAATTTCATATCATATACCCTAAGCCCACTCATTTCCCAACCTTCTGTATCTGCCCTTCATCTTTGTAGCATTCCCCAAAAGAAAGCTTTTAAAAGAAATAATAAAATAAAAAAATAATATTAATAAAATAGAAACCAAAAACCCAAAGACCCAAAAAATATAAAAGCAAGCAAACATAAGAGCAGGAGAGCTGTCCCTGCCCCTCACCAGCTGCGCACTCAGGAGAGTGTCCCCTGCACATTGCCTGGGCAGCACAGTAGAGCTGCCCCTGATGGTGTAGGTGTGGGAGAGCCGACCCTGGGGGCAGGAAAGCAGAACCAGTCTTGCCCCTTGCTCATTGTTGCAAGGGGTGAAGTAGCTGGGCAATGCCAGCTCACCCTGGTCATGACAAGCGGGGGTGAGCTGGCTGGCTATGAAAGCTGCAACTACCCAGGTCCAGAAATATGAGTTGGCCTGCTCTAACATCTACTCCATCTATGATCTGCTGGAGCACATGAAGGTGCGGGTCACGAAGATCCAAAGCTACAGGATCTCCCCAGCACAGGGCAACAACAGGATATCCAAGAGGAGTCCCAATGAGGGCCCAGCATTCTTAGGGTAGCAAAAACCTGAGGCCTCAAACCAGACCAATGACACTTTGAAATGAACACTTGCAAGTAAAGATATATGGATAAAAAGGTAAACTACAGCTTCCATGATTAGATTTTTCTTTCTTTTATGTTTTTCTCTTAAATTTTATTTTGTCCTGTTTCGGTGGGGGGAGGTTACAAGGGCAGAGGGCAGATACGAGGGGACAAGGAGATGAATGGAATCTAGATGCATGATGCGAAAAACACAAAGAATGATTTTTTTAAGTCAAAAAAGAAAAACCTCCCCCATCTTTCCTGCCTCTCCATCTCCTCTTCATTCATCTTAGTGGCATTGGGAGCTTTGGTGTGTCACATGGTAGACACTCTTGTCCAGACAGCTTTACTTGCAAATGTTCATTGTATAACGTGTTGTTGGTCGGGTTCCAGGCCTCTGACTTCTGGTACACCATCAATACTGGACCCTCACTGAAACTCCAGCAGGGTATTCTGTTGCTGCCATGAATCATGAAGATTCTGCAATTATGCTTCCACGGGACCAGTCCCTTCATGCAGTCTAGCAGGTCATAGATGGGATAGATGTTGGGGAGTGCTACCTCAAAGCCTCAGATGTGTGCCTGAATGGTAGATTAGTAGGTCAGTCCAGGTAGCTGGGATCATCTCTCTGAGGCGAGGGGTGGAGCTGGCTCTTCCATGCTCACTCCTAATATTTCTTCTCATACTAAAGAACAATTCTATTGAGAAAATCTTTAGGAAACAAAGAAATAGCAGATTAGCTGATACAACTGAACACTTGGGGAGGGGAAAAAAACCTTCAAAAAGGAAATGTGGAAGAGTTAATTGAGCTATTAGAAGCAAATAATCATAGAACAAAAAGCATATAAAAATTAAGATATGAGTCAATTAATAAACTCAGGGAGAAAAATAAGATGAGGACTATTGTCACAGTCTACCTACTAGGTGTTTTGTGAGCTGTGTTTATTTACATGGTCATGAAATATAAACACTCAGTATTGACATAACTGAAATTTCAGAAATAGCTATTTTGGAAGGATGGGTGTGAAGAAGTGGGTGGGTGTGGATAATGTCTAAAAATGATAACTCAGGAAATAGCATTTTCGACATTTTTCTATAAATGAAGCAAAGACAGAAGGTGTTTAAAGGGTTGCTGTGGTTGACACTGAAGGATTACAAGGATGCAGTGGGAGACCCCTGATGTCCTCTACAGCACTTCAAACTGATGTGCAGAAGAGCACTTTGGTTAGACATGAGTGTTAGGAAGACAAATGCTACCACAAAAACCTCAGTTTTTATATCTGACCAGCAAATGTCCAATTTTCTTATTAACTTCTAAATTGAGTGTAAAATCTGGCTTTGGAGCCCCAAGCCATTTCAACCTGTGTGGAAACTTGGCGAAGAGATGACTGCAGCCCTGTAGACGTGGATGGACATTACTTTCTGGGTTCACAGAACAGGCACTTCTTGCTTTTGGTGGAATATAAACTGCGTGAGGGCTTCTTTGTCCCATGCCATGGAGGCCAGGGTATTCATTTTGCCAATGTAGGGACTCTGTCAAACTGTAACCAAACCAAGCACAGAAACATGGACCATAGAAAAAACAAAGGAAATGGGAAAACACTGCATAATTTGTGGTCTCTAAAATTGCTCCAGTATTAATGAAAGTTTGTTTTAAGAGGTAATTTATGTCAGCTTTGTATAGTTCAGGTCAATACATGAAAAGGTAGATTCCCTCTGCCAGGAAGAAGGGAAGAAATGTATAAATTGTAAGTTTATATTGCCATTGGAAATAAGAACACAGAAATCCATTATTAAAAGCACGATCACTAGCAAATTTATCCTGGCTGACTGGAAGCTGTGGCCCTGAGTCAGGATCCTCTTTTAGAAGACTGGTTCCATTACCTTCAGCCTGTAGACAGTAGGGGCTTAGTCAAGGGAGTGTCACAATGTCAGCTTTGGGAGCCGTCATTTTCACTTTTTATAAGTGGCGACTAGCCACTGGTCTCCATGTGTAGTTCCTTTGAGATGAAAGGCACACGACCCAAGGGCAGCTCCCTCTCAGGGTTGAGACTAGTCTAGACTTGAATGAGGTCTATAGCACTCTAGTGGCTTTAGAACTCTCCAGCCTTTTGAGACTAACATGCTTAATTTCTGTGGAATTAGTGTTTCCAAACCAAATTTTAAAATAAACATAGATTGCAAATTGTCTGTAAATCTTAAACTGCCCTAAAAAGTAGATTAAAAAAATAGATGAGTGAGCCTAAGAGAAGGACTGTGACCTTTTCTCAATAGGGCCAAACATCTAGAATTATTATAGAATTTAGAAGGGACTTATAGATTATATTCTAACTTGATACTTTCAGAAAAGCAATTCAATGAAAGTTTCCCTAAAAAACTGTTTCATCTCCATCTCAGTTTATATTGCTAGGAAAATAAGTCTTGAGCATTCTTGGTTTGTCTTTTGAAAGGACAGTTTATGGGAGTTTACATCTTTTGGATGAAAAGTAGTTTGCCCACAGACTAACAGAAAAATGTTATTATATTAATGGTTCAAGGTCTGCCAGGTTAACTGTGAACAGCTCCTTTTAAAGTAATCCATCCTCCAGCATCAAATGCCAACAATATGCGTCAATAAGAATGCTGGGGCTGCTGATAACATAAGAGTAATGGTTTCTCTACCATCAAAGGATTATTTATTCTGGGGAAGTATGATATATCTGCCTCTTTTATTTGCTTATTTTATGAAAGGAGGCTTTGGTTTTGTATGTTAACCAATTAAGTGCTAAATAGTTTTAAATCATTGAACTCTGGTTATTATAATTTTACAGAAGGCTTTCTAGTTACTCTCCAGAAAGCATCTAAAAAGTTTGCAGTTGGCCATCTCTTTAAAAGTCTCTTAGTGTGTTCACCTGAGTGGCTTATATACAAGGCTTTGAGATGGGTTTTGGAGGAGGTAGTAATAAAGAAGACAGACAAGGCCATCTCATCTCCCGGGGAATTAAGTAGTGAGCAGAGAAGGGGGAATGGTATGTCAAAGGCAAGTGGTGGAGAGAACCCGCCAGGACAGGAACACTGCTTGCAGTGAATGATCATGAAATGCATCTCTGGCAAAGCAACATTTGACCTGAAACTTGAAGGGTAACAAGAGCCAGCTGAGCTGAAATCGAGTGGGAAAAAGACACCCTTGTACCAGGAGTAGAACATTCAAAAGCTCTGAGAAAAGGTGGCATGGTCTGCCAGGAAGAAAAGATAACAGGGAGAGAGTAAGAGGGGCCTGCCAGGTGTCTAGATTTCATCCTAAATTCACCAAAAGCATGGAGGTGGAGAGGCTATCCAGGAACAGAATGAACCTTGGCTTCCTTTTAAGGAAGGTAATTCTCACTAGAATGATTAGGAGTAAGATAAAAGTAGACTGAAAGGAAATGGGACCCTCGACCGAGGGGATAGTAAGGGTGTAAAGGAAGATGCAGGTGAGTTTTGGAGATAGAATCATGAGGACTCACTCTTAACTGAGATAGATAAGTCAGATAGACAAAAGCAGATGCTGGGAATCTATGTGGATGGGCATGTTGGTTCTAAGACAGAGTTTTATTTTAACATATATTATTGGTTTCTAAGATTAGTGGATGAGCAGGGATCTAAGAACTGAAATCTGGAGGGAAAAGATCACCTGAACAGTGACATTCTGGCCTCAAGCCTTGAAGGGAAATAAGAAAAACAGTAAAGCTAGATTGTAGGTCTATTGCTAGTAGCCCAGAGGGTGTAACAAAGAGGATTCTGGGAAAGGAGGCCTTCAAATTCTCCCCCTGTAAATTCTCTGTGCTTGTATCATTGTATCCTCACAAAGCACTCATCTTCCACTCTCAGATACAAATTTAAAAATTCGATTTTAAAATCAGTTGTCTTTTGAAAGTATACAGATTTTATTTATGCTAAAGGTCTGTTAGTCCATGTAAAGTTCAATTATAGAAAACTAGATTAAATGTGATACGTAATTAACTAAACTTCTACAAGATTAGTTTTTTGGCTCAAGTGTTATATTCACATTGGTTTATTTTTTCTCTTTCCTCTAGCCTTGCCAACATTAACCAAAAGAACCATTGCCCCAGATTCAGCTTCAATCAAGGAAGATGCCACAAGTTTACCAGTGAATAGAACAAATCCGCAGTCCAAGAAGGAGGAATATGAGAGCAAAAAATGCAAAATATAACTCACAACTTTACTTGACTATTTTACAAATAATACCCTATGATTCTTTTTGCCATTTGGCTCAGATTATCTAAAGACACCATGTGTCTTTGACTCCATGGGACTGCCAAGCATCGCCTAGCGTGACATTGCAGTTGGTCTTTGTGAGTGAGAGTAAGTTTATCCAGTAGAAGTAATATCAACCTATGAATGATGCACAGCTCTCTTAGAGGCAGCTCATGCAGGCAGAGAAAGTGATCATTTTTGCTTTATATTTCCCCATCTTTCAGTGTCATACTTTTCCACCCCAACCTTGAATTTATAATTGATGCCTTTCAAAAATGACTTGCTGAAAGGAAAAAAAAAAGGAATTCCCTCCAGGCAAAGTTTTCCAGCAGTTTAGATTCAGGAGCCTTTGGACACGGCTGGTTTCTAAATGCTTTCTCCCTAATCAATTCTCATGTGTTCTAACGTGTCATGGAGATGTCTATGTAATATTAGGCTGCCTTTCAAATGCTTATCATCCTTCATTTGTCATCTCAGCAGTCTCTTATGACACATAGTCTCTTAAAACTATTCCAATCATCACTTTTAACTGCAAAAGAATTTATAAAGGATAGCTGAATCGTAGAGCACTGGAAAGAATTCACAGCAGTCTTTATTTATTTGTCTTATTGGGGCCAAATGTCCACTGCGATCTTCCCAGTCACACCCTGGATGATCTTTGGTTTGCTCTGACCCAAATCCCAGCTGTGCTCTCCTGTGACAGTGGGGTTCACTCTGCAAGAGTCCCTGTGTATTTTGGTACTACCTGACTGCTTTTCATGTCCCAGCCTTTTCAACATCAAAGTGTTTGTAAAAACCTTACCACCTTTCCACGTCCAACTAATAGTGAAGAAATTTTTATATTACAATGCTAAATAATGGCCATCATCAAGGAGATGAGTCCCACTGGGCCATGGTGGAACGACTCTGTGCAGATACAGGAAAAATAAAGCAATTCCTTTGTAATACACATTGCATTGTTGTGTCTGTTGAAACACAAGTGTTTGTTCCATTTCTCAAGTGCCATAAAAATGCTATATGTTTGCTCAAAATGTGTTCCTGGGTTATCATAACACTTGGGGGTGTGGAGGAAGTGAGCCCTGTCTTTTTGTAATGTGAATGCAGCTCTTTTCACATCAAAGAACATCCACATGCTACATAAGCTCTGAGGCCACTTACTCAGGGCAGTGCCCTCTTCTTGAGGAGCACCTATGTGTTACTGATAAGAAGAAGTTACCAAAGCAGAAATGTCTGTCCTAAACCATGCCTGGTGTTCCACATGGGGGAGGGGGAAATGTGTTTAGGCCAGCTAGAACTAAATATGAGTTTAACAGCGTTGCTTTTGTCTTCTCTATCCCCAGAAGGTCTCAGTGCTCTAAGGTGATAGCAGGAAGAACTCATGTGAAGACGTACCTCGTCAGCAATAGGATCTTGCCATCTAGTGATGGTGGGCAACCACAAGCAATGGCAATCTGGACTGACACTCTATTTTATCTTCTTGGAACTAAATAATGGGGAAGAAATAGGAGATAAAATTGTCAGCCTTTATTTACATCCCTAAGTCAAAGGTTTATTTAAAGCATTTCCCTTTAGGTACAAGCAGAGACTCCATGCTCTCCATATGTAAAGGAACCATCTGAACTTAGGGAACTGATCTGAATCATTGTTAGGACATCCATGGTAACACACAAAAACTAGAATAGGCTAGCTAGACCTGAGAGTTGGAGGAACTCAGACTGCTGATTCAGAAAATCCTTCAAAGCATACTAGCTTATAATTTTATAGCTAAATAGAGAGAACTCTTGTGGAAGAACTCTTAAAATATGAAAAATTTAAGGCAAGTATATCATTCAGTACTCTATATTGCTGTTGGATGGATGAAGGTGTTTGCCTTTAAATACAGATCCCACCAGAATTTCATTGGCAAAACCAATTCTTTGTGAACAACGATTTGTCCAAATTCCTCAGCTGCTTGGTCGTCTATTTTTATGTACTGAAACCCAAGGTCCTGTCTCCTCTCAAGGTTTTTCCTGTCTCTTGGAGTTACCAGGAGCTTCAGCTGAAAATCAAGAGGAAGATTAAATCTTATTTTTTCCCTCTCAGAGCCAGCAACTCTTTTCCCTTCTCTCCTTTGGCAGGGCAGCCTGAGTTATGTGATAAGAGGCTTCTTTGAATTCTAGTGGATCAGCCATATTGCTGGTAGCACTGGGACTGTGGAAGGGTTCAGCCTTCTGCAGTGCACCTGGTCCAAAACTTCATTTGAAGATTGACCTTTTTGGTTTAGTAATTTTGATTCTTCTGGCCCCCTTTCTCCCTAAATACACTAAACTTCGATTGAAGTTGCTGAAGGCCACAGAGGGAAGAAATACAGCTGGAAGAATTTTGGCTTGCTGTTTTTCCCATTGGCTAAAGTCTTATTATTCCCCTGTCCAGTGTCTGACTTGAAGGTTGGAAACCAGTTGGTTATATAACATTTTATGCACCCAGTTTCCCAGAACTAACTTTATTCTTAGCATAGCTTGTTTATGTTACCAGCAGAGAGTTAAAGCTGATAACAATGCGAAACAGTGAGTGATATCATTTAAAGGTTGCTTATGTAAACAGTGTATATCCACTTAAAAAGCCTTTTTATCCCCATGCCTGTGGTAGATGTATGTTTATAGTTTAAATCCCAACTTAAGGGCCCTGCAGTTCATATTCATACATCTCATTGAAGGGTAGGGAAACTACTTATATGAGAAGCAGGGCTTTGGAGTTCAAGCCCCCAGATGCGTTTCAGAGAGGTTACCCTTTTTTGGATTAGAAGCAGAGTAATCCAGTCTACACTGCCTGGAAAAACTAGCGGTAGCCTCCCTCCAACATGTCCTGTCCATCTTAGCTCCTGTTACATCTGTGCCTGTGTCCACATCCCACCTGAATCCAGAGACTCTACCCTTCTTTTCTATCTAAACTGTAGTGAGTCTTAGACTTAAATAGCATAGCATTGTAATTGGGACCAAACTCCTACATGTAATAAGATGGTGTGCTTACTAAGCAAACCCTTTCCTGCTTACATCGCTTTCCTTAGGACTTGGGCGTATTATAAACTTAAGTATACATCATATGGTAGCCAGGAATGTGAATGAACACTGAGTAAGATTCCTTTTTGAAAATTCCTATGTCCCCCCAAGCAAATTATCCCAACATTTTTCTCCCCACTCCAGACAAAACAAAATGAAATTTGTGATTTTCACAGCCTTCAAATGAGGCAGCAGTTCTCACGAAAGCATCTGGCATTCTTGGATCAAAACTAAAGCATGAGCCCTAAGCTGGGAAACAAATCGAAGCATTTGTATATAAATGCATTCCACTCTCCAAAGTATGATATAAAAATAGTTGCATCTTTCAACTTTTAAGTCTTCAGATGCTCAGCAATAGAAAAAATAGCCACTTTTTCCTATTTGAGGAAAAATCTGAACCATGAAAGATCTCACTTTGTCTCATTTCCATATAAAAACAGCACATCTAATTGAAGGGTAGGAAAAATGCTTATATGAGAAGGAGGGCTTTGGATTCTAAGCCCCCAGATGCATTCATCTCAGAGGTTACCCTGGCTTTTGATGAGAAGCAGAGTAATCCAGTCTACACTGCCTGGAAAAACCAGCTCCACTCTCCCTCCAACATGGCCTGCCCATCTTAGCTCCTATTACATCTGTGTCCAAGTCTGTTTCCCACCGAAATCCACGCCCAACATATGTGCCTTACTATTTTACCAAGCCAGCTGGCCTCTGATGTCTCCTCGCCATACAGTCCACATTGAAGAACTAGCTGGGGGGGGGGGGGGGCAAGGCGGGGGATGTGGTACCTCAGTTCTTTCAGCAGTCAGTATGTACATATGCCATATGCCTGGATAGAGATGAGAGGTCCATGTCAGGTGTTCTTCTCAATTGTTTCTCTGCCTCATTTTTGTTGATAGGGTTTCTTACTGAACCTAGAACTCACTGGCTGGCCAGCAAAGCCTGGAGATCTGCCTGTCTACTGCCCCAGCCTTGGTCTTACAGGTTGCTGGGACTCAAAGCAAAGGCCTCAAATGCGTAGGACAAGCCCTTTATCTTCTGAGCCTCAGCCCCTAGAAACTTTTTTTTTTAACCACACATGTTTTGGCTCTCTTATGGTTGAAATCCTAGGAATACCGTAACTGGCAATATTCTTTTCCCAAGCATAACTCAATATAGACTTTACATGCAAAGCTCCGTGGCACTTGAGAATACAAAGCTTCCCACCTTTGTTTTTGTTCAGTTATTGTATCCTATGCTTGCTGCTGTGTTTCCTGTCATTATATACAGCCATTTGCCTGTTGTACTCATTTGTACATCAAGCTTTCTTTACCTTATAGCAAAAAGAACAGGTAGAAAATACGAGAAAAGTTGTCGATAGGATTTACAATTTTAATTTTGGGATCTATGTGCTCTATAAGTTTTTCCCTTTCTCCAGTCATCCTGCATAACTCTTATTCAGTGTTATTCCTGGGATGGTAGAAATGCCTGTTTGCCCATTTTTGCTGAGCACTTCTCTGGGTAAGACACTGAAAGATATCGGGAATGGTGTAAAATGAGATAAACAGAGGAATCTGGTTTGCCTTGGACAACACACAATTTGGACGGTTTGTTGGCCAGGAAGAAATCTGTCAGTGAGGAAGGGTGTGGGGTTGTAGAGTGTGGTGAGAAGCCCTGCTAAACTGTACCCATGCTGTGAAATATTTGTCTCCTCAATACTGCGCTAATTGTAATATTTCTCTACCTCTTGCTGGCTTCTTGGATCTGGATAAAAAGTGGCCTTCTTCCTAATAAGTTTTTCGTCTAGGTATCTCATGCCTGTCTGTCACTGTGGGGTTTTGTTTTATTTATGCTACCATTAATCCCACTGAGTGGAGGTACAGGCTTGATTTATGACCTAGCATTTTAAAAGTTTCCCATTACAATGAACCTCAAACTGCCAGTCATCAGACGCAGAGCAGCCATAGTGGCAAAGCCATCTATCAAGGTGGCTTTGAAAGGGTGGGTGTTAAAAGAGCTTTGGAGCAACACAGGAGTTTTCATGCCTTTTTATTCTCCTGGGCTACACAGATGTATCACTTCTAACAAGGTACTTCCTGCTTAGAGTCACTGGCAAAGGAGCCTCCACCCAACAGCTGCAGGCTTGAGACCTCACATTGCTGGCCAAGGTTCACTCTGTACTTTGACTGAGACCACAGCCAATAAAGTCAGTGGAGGATGGAAAGGGAAATCCTTTTTTTTTCCCCCATTGGAGAAATCTTTTGTGAGGTTAGTTTGACTGTTCTGAATTAACAGCGGTCAGTGTTCATGTTTTAATTTTAACTGCAGGTAAGCTTAGCCTGGTGAGGACAATGCAAATCATTAAAGCATGCATTCTCAAAGTGTGGCCACAAATCCAGCAGCAGCACGTGACTCCTTGCAATCTGCTAGAACTAGAAGCTCTGACTATCCTTAGATCGGCTGACTGAGACCCTTTGGGGGCGGAGCCAGCAGTCCGTGCTTCAGCGAATCCCCGTGATTTTGTCGGGTGGCTGGTTTTAAGTACTACCCTTCAATATTCATTTGATGGTAGCCTTCCTGGTATTTTTTAAACCCTCCGTCTCAAACCCTTAGTCTCAGGCAATATAAAGAATACTATTTAATATTGGTTCCCAGTGGTGCATATTGTCCCCAGGAGTTCCAGCTCCAACTCCTGTTCTGCGGTTCCCTCAGCGACAGACTAAGGCAGCTTCCAAGGATGTCCGATTCATACTGCTCCTCCTGACTGATTTCTATTGACCAGAACTATTAGGAGCCACCACCGAAGCACCCACGTAAGACCAGACCTACACTGTAAGACTCGCTGTGATTTGAAGAGTGATCTCTTATTGCCTAAGAAATGTAATTATGTATACAATTCTTTTAAAATGAGCCGACAACGCTTTAAAATGTGTGT